CAGTATTTCTGGTAGTTTTGCTTGTATTTTCTTCATGCGGTGGCACAGTGTTGTCTGATCCAAAGTAATGCATGTAATTTACTGGATAAACTTGAAATAAATAATGACAAATGGTTTCTCAGCAAGATGAATATAGGCAAAGAAAATTTTCCCATATCTAATATTCTCGAGGATGTTGCAGAGTTGCAAAAAAATTGTCCTGGTGTGAGACTGTTACATATCCTCTTGGTAAACAGTAGAGTAAAACGAAAGGTCAAGTAAGGAGCTGCTTTAATTCTCCATCCTTGTCTTTACAACCTCTAAGCTGAAGGAATCTTAGTATACAACTCTGTTCAGTCTTTGGCAAAACTTACTTTCTTAAGTGTGATGACTTATTTAAAAGAAACTTTATTTAACTCACCATGGCTTTAAATAAAGGTTGCCTTCTAGTTTTTTAAACCCCAGAGGACTTTTAAAATCTTCAGCAGAATTGGAATAGTGCTTGGATTTTCCTTTAAAACGCCATTGACTCCTGTCTTCCATGGGGTGAAAGAACAGCACAGAGAAGATTTTCCGCTCAGCATACTCAAGGAGGGAGGGAATGTCTTTCAGCTAACCTGTAGGCTTTCCCATCATTTTCGTTGATTTATTTTGAAAATCCAGATTGTCTTAGTGAGTTGACAGGTAATACTTGAAGGCTCATCTTTCTGCCTTCTTGCCAAAATGTGCTTAAATCCGCATCTCATAAAAAGAAATCTCTGCTGGAGGCCTTGTGACTGTGTCCAAGTTTTCTTCTCCCCCAACACGTTATGAAGTTCGTGCTGCTCTGTAATGCTCTGTATTTAATGTAGTCGATGGACGAGAAGGGGTGAAAAATGACAAAGGAGATATTTCAAAAAGGAATAGAGTCTTTAAATTGCTGCTTCAGGGCAGTTCATTTCCAACGTAACACTAAATCCATTATTCAGCACAGGTGATTGTCTGCATTGTAAAGAAAACCATAGGCTGGAGATTTTTTCCCCTCCAGGAAGGATAAACCGCCATGCTGTGTAACACTTACTTCGTTTTTGGAGAAGGTTAGGGAGGATCTTGAAGAAAACTCAGTCTTCATCTCAAAGGCGTGGGCACGTGGGCTGCTGAAGGACCGTTCTACTGATGAGGCCTAGGATCAGAATATTAACAACCGTGTCATGTGCTATCAGGAGAAACTTGTCTATTTACAAATACCAAGAGCTCTTGAATCAAAAATCAAATGAATCACCCTTAAATTTTTTCTGATATTTTACATTGTTTGTATTTAGGAGATGGAGTGGTCAAGTACCATTAATTTTCTGCTTTCTCTTTGTAGCTCAGGCCATCTAAACTCTTTGGTCTAACCACTAAGCAGTCTTTTTAATTAGTATCTTACTGAACACTTATCAAAGATGTACATTTCAGTTAATAGCTTCTATAGTACTTGAAATGCAGTAGCTTTAAGAAGGGGATGTGCAAGAGAAAATTGCTAGGTTTACTAAGTTAAAGCAATAACTTGCTGTATAGATATACCTCTGAGATATTGGGGGTTCATTTCCAGACTACACACAATAAAACATGCATAGTGGTAAAATGAGTCATAATCCTTTTGCTGGTGGAGGGCCTTGTCTTCAATATGTAAATAACAGAACATCCCTGAAGTACAGTAAAATGATATATGCTTGTGTAAGGGTCTCATGTTTTTAGTATAGATTTTTCCTCTCTCAGCTTTTAAAGATGTTTCCTTGAAAATGACTCCCACACACCTCCCACTAAAATAAACCTTTCAGATAATTTTTTAGAGAACTGAACCCAATAATTGCTCTTTCCTAAAAGGGGGAAAGAGACATTCAAAACCAACTTTTTACAAAATTGAGAGACCTTTTGAGTTTTAGCATTCATTACTCACATTTGAATGATGCTAGTGTGAAGAAGCTGCTAACAGTTACCACTTACTGAGTGCCTACTTTTGTAAATGCGTACACACATGCACATACGTAGTCTCTCTGATTCTTAAAACACCCCTGAAAATTAGATGTACAATTCCTATTGTAATGAGAAAATGGAGAACCGTCAAGGTTAAACAACTAGGAAGTGAAAGAGGGAGGACCCAAACTCAAGCTCCTCCTCACATCACTTGGCCCACCCTGCCACCCTTGCCACCCCACCCCCCCCCCCCCCCCCCCGCCCCCGTCCTCCTTGTGCTGCTCAGGTTGGATGGAGATACTGGAAAGGAGAAATAAGGCATGGTCCTTGCCCTTAAGGAGATTAAGACCCATCAGATTCCCATAAGATAGTCTTTTTTTTTTTAAAGGAGAGGACACTAAACAACTACAAAATAGAAAAATAAGACAGTAAGCCTTCAAAGTCAGTTGAGACTAGTTCAGTTCAGTTGCTTCTACATAGAGAGTGTTGTTCCATCAGTTTCCTCTTCCCCACCCTCACTTCGCTGCATAGGTTAGGTCTCTGGTCTTCATCCTCTCTGCCTGGGTAGCAGTGTCTCCCACTGTTGTCCTTGCTTCTCGTGTCTCCCCTCTCCCACCACTTTTTCCATGGCCCTTGGGGTTGCCACCTCAACACGAAGACTGGATTATGTCCCTCTCCTCTTCTGAAACAAGTTTCTTATTAAAATTCCCTTAAAGTCTTGTTCGACTTTATCTTTCCAGTTTATTTCACTAGAGCCAAGACTCCGCCATCAATCCAAGGGAGAGAGGAAGCGGTACCCTGATAGAGAGAGCGCCTCCTGACTCCCAGAACAGGGAGGAGGTGTGTGGATGTGGTGTGGGGGTGGGGGTGGGGGAGGAGGGTCAGGACTTCTGAGCTTCACATCTTAGTCCAGTCGTGAATTCTGAAAATAATTGTCCATCCAAAATATATCCAAAAAGAATATATTAAGTTTGAGAAGTAGAAATGTATTAGGGTGTTTCTGTGCTAACTAACGCCTTTGAGACTATTCTTCATTAGGAAATTTAATGTAATTTACTGCTCTGCTTACTTTAAGAACTTTATTTTTGAAAACACTGAAATAAAACATTTAAGGATTTCTTCCTACTCTAGTTGAGTAGATGGTGGTATCATTTTTATTGTGTTGCACAAGAGTAGAAAGTGTATGAATTAGACAAAATCATGTTTCACTTGTAAGAAAGAGCTGATAAGAAGGTAGTAATAGGGGTATTTTAATTTTGCTTTTCATATAATAGGCATGGGGCTGTTTTCTTTGTCAGTAGGAAAACATTAATTTTGAAGGTCTATTCCGAAATTCGGCAAACTGCTATAAATAGTAGATGCTTGGCTTGGTGGCCACGTGATCGCTGTTGCAGCACCTCAACTCTGCTCGTACAGTGCAGAAGCAGTGATAAGATATAAAGGAATAAAGGTGGCTTTGTGCCAGTAAAACACAAAAGCTTCTATTTTTGTGCAAGTTAGGTTTTAATATTAAAAGTAGGGTACCTACCACACTTGGCCCAATTCCTTCTTCAGTCAGTCATTAAACATGTCTGCTTTATCAGTTGTCTTGGTGTTTACTTTTAGGACTAATTTGGGATGCTACTTACTTTAAAAAAAACCATTTACATTGAAGCCTCTTCAACATGGTATTTACTAGAGCGTGTGTTTCCTTTGGTTTTCGGTGCAAGTGGTGAAGTTGTGTGTGTGCAGGTGTGCGTGTGGTGTGTAGTCCCAGAAGAACCCAAGGCAGTTTTGCAGGGAAGCCTCTGAGTAATGGAAGCAATAAGCTTCTATGAGACTACTGGTCAGAGCCTATTGCTCTATTAAAGCCTGGGCTAAAGTCCTACATTCGTCACAGTCTAACAGGTCCATCGTGGCACACTGTGTCACTTTCGATCCAGTGAGGCAGTAGGGATCCGTGGTGAGAGCTGGGTCTCATCATCTGATGCTGCGGCTGCCTGTGCTGTCACAACAGCTTGGTCCCCATGTTCACGTGGGAATAGAAGTGTTCACTCCCTTTCCTTAGATTGCAGTCCAAGCACGATGAGACCCTTTGTGGAAGACAAAGTGCCCAGGACAGTTAAGAAGATGATTTTATTCAGGTTGTTGCAATTGGGAAAAGGGTGATTAAGGGAATATCAAAGAAGAGGGAAGAAAGCTGGGGAAGGGTGGGCGCCTTTCTTCTTTGTGCCCCCAGATCACTTTGTAATTCATCTCTGTGGCAACCAGCATTTGATTTTCATGCCCCTTTCTCACTCTTTGCATCTCCATCACCAGATACAGGTGCTGCCTTATGTCAGCAAGGTTCTTGAAACTGGTTTCTCTAATGGACTTTTCATTCATGGTGGAGGAGTGGAAGTGATGTCTCATCTTTGACCCCTAACATTTAGAGGAGGAAATGGAGTTCTTACAGCTTGAGAAGCCTTTCCTGTGTGTGACTCAGTTATCATGGAGCCTTGGGGAACTCTGAGTGGTTGGCGAGGAGGAGATGTAATTTAGTGCACAATGATTGCTTTTGAATGACCCTGTTTCCAAGGGCAGATGGATAGGTTTAGAATCTCACTGTGGATTTTGCCAAGAATGTTTGGAGTTTCTTTGTGTAGTAGGAGTTATTAGTATTTACTTCTCGTTCTAACATGTTGGTTTCAAATAAGTCAAACATTTAGGAGAACATTGAAATTCCAAATATAAAAGATATAAAATATTAAGTGGTTTGTTATTATTTTAGAATTAATTCTAAAAGAGACACTTGCTATGCTGAAAGCTGGGTAATGCCACTAGTGAATGAATTATCCTTTGCTGTGGGGAATAGATTATAACTCAGAGTAGGCCCTTGTCATGGGTATGCACACTTCAAGACATGGTAGAATATTCTACTGTGAATGGTGAGCTTTATGAAATTCACATGTATTTTCATAGCCATGGCTGTTACGTGTGAGCCCCATGGTAACCACAAAATAAAAACGTATAGTAGATACACAAAACAAGAATAAAGGCACTTGGGCATAACACTGTAGGAGCCCATCAACCCCTAGAAAACAAAACATAAGAAAAACGGACCAGGAAGGAACTATAAAACTGTCAGAAGACAATGAACAAAATGGCAGTAAGCACATATCTACCAGTAATTACTTTCAATGTAAATGGATTAAGTTCTTTAATCAAAAGACGTACAGTGGTTGAATGTATTAAACTGATAAGAACAGTTACTACACTTGATCTTAGCCAACAGGCAGAGAAGCGATAGACTGAACGTATTAAAAAGAGAGACCCATTTATATGAAGCCTGCAAGAGACTCAGTTCACATATAAGTCGAACACAGGATGAAATGAAAGTACGGGGAGGAATACTGCATGGAAAAGGAAACCAGAAGAAAGCTAGGGTGTCTACACACATGCATTTGATGATCGAACAACACAGGCATTAGGGGCACTGACCTGCCACATAATCAAAAATTGGTTTATAACTAAATCAGCCCTCTGTATATGCAGATTCCCACCTGCAGATCAAAGATACAGTTGACCCTCGAAAAACTGATCTGAACTGCATGGGACCACTTACACACACCAGTTATACTTATATCAGACAAAATAGACTTTGAAGCAAAGACTGTATTGAGAGACAAAGAAGGTCATTGTGTAATGGAAAAGGGGTCAATTCAACCAAAAGAATATAACACTTGTAAACATGTATGCTGCCAATATAGAAGCATTTTAATACTGAAAGCAAATATTAACAGACATAAAGGAAGACAGTGAGAGGAATACAGTAATAATAGGGGACTTTGACATTGACCCACATCAGTGGATACATTATCCAGGCAGAAAGTCAATGTGGAAACTTTGGCCTTAGGGAACACATTAAAAAAGATGGACTTCATAGACATATACAGAACATTCCATTAAAAAAAACCCTAATACACATTCTTTTCAAGTGCACATGAAACCATTCTATCAAAGGTAGATCACATGTTAGGCCACAAAACAAGTCTCAGTAAATTTAAGAAGAGTGAAATCATATCAAACATCTTTACAGGCCACAACAATATGAAACTAGAAATTATGCACAAGGAGAAAACTGAGAAAAAAAAGCTCACAAATACATGGAGGCTAAACAACATGCTAGTAAACAACCAGTGAGTCAACAAAAATAACAATTACTTGAGAGGAAGGAGAATGGGAACAACAGTGTTCCAAAATCTATGGGACACAGCAAAGCCACTGCTAAGACAAAAGTCTATAGTGATACAGGCTACCTCACGAAACAAGAAAAATCTCAAACAAGCTAATCTTCCACCTAAGAACAACAAACAAAAGCCCAGTGTTAGTAGAAGGAAGGACAGAGTAAAGGTCAGAGCGGAAATAAACGAGATGGACGCTTAAAAACCCATCAGCAATAGACAAAGACAGTGGTACTGCCAGGTGGTTCTTTGAAGAGGTAAACAAAATCAGTGTCTTTACCCAGACTCATCAAGAAAAAAAGAGAACACACAATCAGAAATGAAAGAGAATTTACGACTTTCAACACAAATAAAAGGGATTCTCGGAGGACACTATGAACAGTTAAGTGCCAACAAATTGGACAACCTGGAAGAAACACGCATCCTTCCAAGATTGACCAGGGAAAAACAGAAAAGGTGAAAAGATTGATTAGTAGTAACAAAAATTGAATCAATAATCAAAAACTCCCAACAAACAAAAGTTCAGAACCAGACAGCTTCATAGGTTAATTCTACTAACCATCTAAAGAACTGATACCTATACTTTTCAAAATATTCCAAAAACTGGTGAGGAAGAAATATTTCTAGGCTTATTCTCCAAGACCAGCATTTCCCTGATTCCAAAACAATACCAAAAAAGAAAAAAAGAGAGAATTATAGGGTAATATCCCTGATGAACATAAATATAAAATTTCTCAACTAAATAGTAATGAACCAAATTGAACAATACATTAAATGGTTCATACACCATTATCACCATTGGATTTATTCCAGGACTGCAAGGGTGGTTTACTACCTGCCAATCAGTCACTATGATGCATACCCACAGTTCATACTCAATGGTGAAAATCTGACAACTTTTTCTTTAAGATCAGGAACAAGCATAGCCACTCATACTGATTTTAATCAACATAGTATTGCAAGTCTTAGCCACAGCAATCAGACGTTAAAAGGAAATAAAAGGCATCCAAATTGGAAAGGAAGAAGTAAAACTGTCAATATTTGCAGATAACATGGTATTACTGTATACATAGAAAACCCTAAAGTTTCCACCCAAAAAAAGAAAACTATTACAACTGATAACTGAATTCACTAATGTTGCAGGATACAAAATTAATACACAGCAATCCTTTGTGTTCCTATTAACACAAAAGATTGAACTATCAGTCTTTAATAAATTTCATTTATAATTGCATCACAAAGTATAAAATACCTAGGAATAATAAATTTAACCAAGGAGATGAAGGACCTGTATTCTGAAAATTGATGTCAATGAAGACATTGAAGACACGAGTAAGTGGAAGTATCTGTCATGCTCAAGGTTTGGAAGAGTTAATATAGCTACAGCATTTGTACTACTTAACCAATCTACAGGTTCACTGTGATTCCTCTCCAAACACCAAGGGCGTTTTTCACAGTGCTCGGACAGATAATCCTAAAATTTATGGAACCACAGAAGACAATAAAATATTTTTAAAAGAACAAAGGGGTATCACATGCTGACTTCAAAATATGCTGGAAGGCTTTAGTAATCACAACAATATGGAGCTGGTATAAAAACAGACTCATAGGTAAATGGAACAGAATAGACAGCTCAGAAATAAACCCACACATACATGGTCAATTAATCTGTGACAGAGGAAGCAAGAATCCACATGGGAAAAAAGACAACCTCTTCCACAAAGGGTGCTGCGTAAACTGGACAAGTACATGCTTTATATGAAATAAATATGTGTGTGTGTGTATAAAATGTCTTCGTGGCTTACTTTTATAGGTTTAGGATAATGAATCTTTTATAATACGGGATCGGTTTTGCAAGAAGACAAGCTTGAGTGGGATTGAGGCCTGGCTGTGATGCTGTGTGACTTTTCGTAAGTTAGTTAACATCTCTGAACCCAATTTTCTTATCTCCAATATGAAGATAATACTAACTCAGAAGATAGTAGTGAGATATAAAAATTCTTGGCAATTATTGGAAATTATTTATTGTTGAATTAGCAGCTTTATCTTCTGATCAGTGTGTTAAGACATTCTTTGCAGTGGTGTCTGCCAGTTTTGACATATATGTTGCCTAACAAATTCATTGTTTTATGTCTAAAGAGCTGTCTGCTTTAACATCTGTGGGGACTGATGGTGGCTCTAAGTAGTTATGTAGTAATTATAAAGAAGGGATAAATATTTGGAAGGTGTAGCTACCATTGTAGCTATTTTAGGAAAATCCATACTGTTTTTCTTAATTCTCTAGTTAAAGCCTAAAAAATGAAGATACTTTCTTTAAATGTCATATTCCTATATAGGACTCTCTCGTTAAGCACCCTGCACATAGAAGGTTAAGCAGTCCACTAAGACTGTAGGTCTGAGACCGAGCAGAGACCAACCAGGAGGCCCTGCTGATCTCAGGTGATGTACGTCTTGGAAAGTACCAGAGGGTTCTGGAGTTGCTTCGGTATTTGTTTACAGTGGTCCTTTTCAGAGAATAAGCTGCAATGAAAAATAGCCTCTGGGAATCAGAGCTGAGGATAAAATGCACAAATTCTTGCTATAATTCATTTTGGAAGAGTATAGGAAGGACTGTTTAAAAGATATGTTAAAAGAAGCAAAGGAAGTCATAGACTGTAATAAAAAACAAGCAAAAAGATCTTCAGCTCCTCCCCTATTTTGAACAACAAACCACCAGTCTTTATTTGCTATAAACTTTGGCAGAGGATAACCTTAAATTTTAGTTTATTCCTAGATTTGTGTGATTGTGACATTCTTATTATGAGTAAAATAGGAGGGCAATGTTTTCCGTGATACAGGTTTTTTGTTCCCGTAGTTCTTTTTTTTTATATGTGTGGCGTAGTAAACAGGCAGACCTCTCTAGAAACAGATCTCTCTGTGCTACGGTTTCCACTGTCTCAAAACAATTCCTTTGAGGATTGCATGATTTAATGTGTAAAGCTGTGAGAACAGTACCTGGCACGTTATAAACTCTGTAAGAGAACCACGACTATTGAGGTTTAGCATACCAACCAGTAACCACCTGTGTACTAAAAGTAATTAACTTGTGCACCTTTTGCATTTAAAAAAATTTTTTTATCCTCACCCAAGGACGTGTTTTCATTGCTTTTACAGTGCGAGGGAGTGGGAGAGAGAAACATTGATTGGTTGCTTCCTGTATGCATCTGGATAGGGGATCCGTGCCTGCCTGTACCAGGGATCAAACCTGCAACCTTTTGGTTACTGTTAGTAACAAGGCTCCAACCAGCTGAGCCACACCAGCCTGGGCACCTTTTGCATTTTTAAAAATAGGCTTTATATAAGGAACGAGAGGTCATATTTTAATCCACTCTGTGCCAATTTATTCTGCTCTATTTTGTGAAAAACACCAGTTTTCCCCCTCTCCTCAGAGGTGATAACCTATTTCATTCACTCAGTAAATATCTCTTGATTGCCTACAACATTCTAGGCGTGGGGAAGAGGGTGGTAAACAAGATCCTCTGTTCTTAAAGAGCATTAATTCTTCTCTTTTCCAGTCTACTGTTCATTTTTGACCATCCTTTGTGGAGAACAGTTCATTTTGCTCCTTCCTCTCCCCGTTATTTAGTAACAGCACTTGATGATTTGGACCTCTTTGCAAATGGTTTCTGAGAAGCTATCCTTTGTATATATCTTTTGATTATACAAAATTTAAAGCCATTTTGTATTGTAGCTGCCACTGCATTTTTGTTAGTTTCTTCTTAAGGTCCAGAGAATCGTAGAAATATCTTTAGAGGGGATTTTTCTAAACAACGCCTTTGAACTTAGAAACCGAAAAGCAAAGAATTGGAAGTGACACCTGTCAGATGTTCTCTAGGGAGTGCTCCTCACAGCATTGTCATTCAGTCCCCGTTTCAGAGGCACACTGTGCCTCTCTGACTGCTGATGTGTGGCTTCCTGTGGCCCTTCTTTATTGTACGGTGGTAAAATTGGATTCCGAGCGCTTGTTGGGAAGCTTTCCATTTTTTTGTTTTGAACATTACTGAACCAAAGTACTAACCAACTAA